GAACCACAAATCCTAGTGTTTGATAAAATACTGGGCAACTTTTGGAAACTACAAGTATTGATTAAATCAGCTAAGAATTAGTATTCAAAATTGTGGGAGTTTATATTTGTAACTTCTAGTCATTTTTTAGTTGTCACTGTATGTCCTGTTGGAATTTATCCTGAAGACTGATCATGTTTCATGTTTCAAAAGACAATATTTGCTTTTTATTTGTCTTTGATTTAAAAAAGCAAGGAAAGGGATTTTATCAAAGTCAATCAGATAAATGTAATCCAATTATGAAAATAAATCCGCCCTCGACCTCACATTACTTCAAAAGGAGGGATCTTTACGTCTCTGTGAATTACACACAGCCTACCCATGGGAGCTGCTCTAACTCAGCCTCCAAACTGTCAGGTCAGTAACAGCAGGATGGAATGTCCTCAAGGGGACTGGCCGGGAGGGCTGGGTCTTCAAAGAAAGCCCAGAGCCAAGGGGAGGGGCTGCTCCCAGGAGGCCATCAGGAGTCTCCCATGACCCTCCCAGCACCTCAGAAGGGGGAGCAACTCACAGTTACTGCCAGCCTCAAGGCGCCCTATTCTTTCATCAGAAGAATTTCCAGGAGTGTTCTGCAGGTGTTGCATCAATATACTTTTTAAAAAATTAGGGTGTTTTAACATTTCAAATGTTTATTTTGGATTATCCCAAGTTAACTTCTTGCCTTTCTTTTTCTTTTAATGTATTTTTAACAAGGCTTTTTCATTATAAAAATAATACTTATTGAAAGAAAGACTTCTAAGCGCACAGGAGAATATGAGCTAAAAGTAACATCACTACTCTTGTCCCCAGAGGTGGCCATGCTAACAAAGTTCCTAGTGTATCCTTCCAGAAATTTTCCATCCATATGCAAACATATATTTAATAAATTAAATGCATGTGTGAATATATCTTTGTATATATGTATATGTGTGTATACATATATTTTATATATTTTAGCTTATTTGGAGTTATAATTGTACATAGTGCTTTCAACTTGGTTATATCACCTAACAATAAATTGGATTATAAAAGTCTATCTAAAAGTAAAGAATTATTTCATTTGTAGAAAACATGGTTGTGGGCATCTGTTCTCTGATGTCCTGAGAAAAGGGAGGAAAGTTGCTGATAAGGAAAGTTCATGGACACAGGGCATATCATCTTCATTAACCATGAAAATGAAGGTTTCAATTATAAACCAAGGTGATTTAATCAGAAGACAGTTCTTTTGAAACAATGCCTTTCTACTTAAAGTTCCATGGTTGCACAAAATCATCCTGAGTATATTTCCTCCAGACACAATTATGTAATTAGATAAGAAAGGAAAAGGGCAATACTGCTGGCTTGCACTACCCACTGCTTGGATGGGGACTGTATCCACCACTCTCTCCTCAGCACCAGGCACTGTCCTCACAGGGCTTGCCATTTACCTGGGGGAGGGGCATATGAATGAGCAGATGTGTACAATACGGCAGGAATAATAATGGTCTGCATACTGGGGTCGAAGTCTCCCATATCTTAACAACCCCACAAAATAGCTTTGAGTCTTGTTCTCGTATCACAGATGAGGAGACTGACAGCACAGAGAGGTTAAGCGACTTGCCCAAGGCTGCACAGCTATTTCTCAGGAAGCGAGGCTCCAGTTTCTGTGATTATGCAGATCGCCTGGAGGGGGAAGGGGAAGATGCTGGCAGAGCTCAAGGATGGAGAGGAACTGCAGGGAAGCCCTCAGGGAGGGTTTCATACAGAGGATGGATTTGAACAAGAAGCTGGTGAGGCAGAGTGGTGGGGGAAGGGAAGAGAAGGTGGACAGGTGGGGACACCATCTGCGTCTTGGGCCCCATCCTCCAGGGGTCTCAGCCAAGGAGGGGATGAGTGCTGAGATTCCAGCAGAGGCCGTGGAGTGGCTGAAGAGCATCAGGGACCATCTGGGCAGTGCTTGTCTTCCTGGGTGTGCAGCATGTGATGGGGTTGGATGGATCCAGGAGGAGGGGACCTGCTGGTGGAGGGTCTGAGAGATCCCGCCCGTCCCCCAAGGCCTGAGAAGGGCACCCTGTACGCTTCTGGGGAGTGTGGGTCCTGAAGGAACCAGCATCCCAGCGGGATGAGGCCTGTTCAGGAAGTGAGAGGCCTGAATTGCAGCTGCCCAGTGAGTGAGGGCACGTGGCAGAAACCACAGGCCACAGGAGGTGGTCCCCAAAGACCAGGTGGACTGGTCTCTCCTCGTGGACCAGATGGCTACACCACCCACCTGTGGAAAGCAGCCAGGGCGCTGACATAGCCCGAGCCCAGATGCTGTTCACTCTGCTGGCCCCCAGCCGATGCTGTGAAGGTTGGTAACTTCCCTTTGCAGTCAGATGCCACAAAGGGAAGAAAAACAGGAACATTCATGATAGGGAGGCATCTGAAGTGACTGCACATTTACTCAAAATAGACAGTCAACCTTAAAGAGGCTATTTAAGTCAGAATAGATTGTTACCTACAATTGTTACCGATTAAGTTTTTCTTATACTGTGAGTGGGAGTTTGGCGGGGGTGGGGGGTAGCGGGGTAGTCTGAGAACAAGGCTAGTGATTGGAATACTGGGTTTTGGTGTTTGAATAACAAAAAAACATGCTATTTTAAAAAACTCAAACACTAACATCTTTGCTGATATATCTTTGATCTATTTCTAACAGCTTTATGGATGTGTAATATATAATAAACTGTTCATATTCAAGTGTACAATTTGATAAGTTTGAGATATCTATCTGCCTGTATACACACACACACACACACACACACACACACACACACACACACGTATATGTATATCTTATGTCTCCATGAAGCCATCACCAGAATTAAAAGTAAGGAGGGGGCTTCCCTGGTGGCACAGTGGTTGAGAGTCCGCCTGCCGATGCAGGGGACGCAGGTTCGTGCCCCGGTCCGGGAAGATCCCACATGCTGTGGAGCGGCTGGGCCCGTGAGCCATGGCCGCTGAGCCTGCGTGTCCAGAGCCTGTGCTCCACAACGGGAGAGGCTACAACAGTGAGAGGTCCGCGTACCGCAAAAAAAAAAAAAAAAGTAAGGAGGAAGCTGATAAAGTGAAGAGGGGATATATGCATATATAAATATCTCCCTCCCTATTAGCATCTTTTCTCTATCTCTTTATTATTATCAGTTATCAGTATAGAATTAATACAGTTTCAAATTTCTCATTTTAAAATATTCCTTTCATTTAAAATATCCCGTTTGGCAATAAAATATCCCTGATAAATACAATATAAAGAGAAAAGCTCACAAAATTAATCAATTTTGAATTTTAAAAAACCATAACTATTTAAAAGCCCTATTTATATAATAAAGGACAGAACTCCCCAATCAAAAGCATGTAACTGTTATATCAAACATTCCTGAAGAAACTTTGTTATAAAATTTAAGTATCATTGAGGAGATAGCATGTTAGAATCCCATACAGAATTAACACAAGAGAAGCTTATGATTGTTCAAGTTTTTCTGAATCATTGTAAAATAATTGATGTATGTTAGACATCTGTTGCTGCATGCTAAGTCACCCCAACACTTAGTGACTGAAACAACACACGTTTATTGTGTCACTGTTTCTGTGGATAGGGAACTAGATGTGGCTCAGGTGGGTATCTCTGCCTCGGGGTTTCCCACGAGGCTGCAGTGTTGGCTGGGGCTGCAGCCTCATCTGAAGGCTCGCCTTGGGGAGAATGCCCCTCCAGTTCATGCATGTGGCTGTGGACAAGATTCAGCTCTTCTCAGGCTGCAAGGCCAACTGGGAGGCTGCCTACCACAGATATAAACATCTTTTAATGTAATGTTTTGAGAAGGAGTTTGGTTTTCTATTGCCAACAAGTTAAATTCCCTGGTCCTGACGAGCAAATCAAAGTTGGAATCTGAGTGCCTCTGAACCTAATGTGGTACAGCACAATACCCACCAAAGAAAACAGGTGGTGAGTCTGCTTCCATGGCCCTGGGACTGATCACAACAATCTGCTCTCTTTCCTTCCCCTCTTGAAATAGATTTTTTTTTTTTTTGCGGTACGCAGGCCCCTCACTGCTGTGGCCTCTCCCGTTGCGGAGCACAGGCTCCGGACGCACAGGCTCAGCGGCCATGGCTCACGGGCCCAGCCGCTCCGCGGCACGTGGGATCTTCCCGGACCGGGGCACGAACCCGTGTCCCCTGCATCGGCAGGCGGACTCTCAGCCACTGTGCCACCAGGGAAGCCCTTGAAATAGATTTTAAAGCTGCTCCAACTGGGTTGCCTACAAAGCGTTTGTTCTACTGTGTGGAAACTTGTACTGTGTTAAGTGTTGGTTCTTCTGTACTTCTCTAATAAAGGAGCACATCTTTCGTAAACAAAAACCACCTTCTGAAAACAAGCTTTAAATTGCTTAACACTTCACTTATGAGCATTAAAGAAGACCCTTAATATAGGCAGACCCTTAATACAAGAAGGCCTTAATATACATAAGGCCTTGTCCCCAGAACTGCTACCTTCCCATCATTTCATGGGAGGTCTGGGGGCCAGGCTTCAGGTCCCAGAGTCAGCAGCTGCTTCAAGGGATTATGACAGAGAAGGAGCATGACTGAGACTGTGGAGCCTCATACAATTAGGGTCAAATCCCAGAAGGAAGGGCAGCGTGAATTGCTTGTGGCCGGACCCCTCGGATTTCAGACAGACCTGGCCTGTGAAAGCCTGCTATCTTGGGGCTGTGTCATCCACCCATGATGTTCAATTTCATGTGGCTATAGAGCTTTATATAGACTGTATTTAAAAAAAAAAAAAAACAGGAACAAAAGCAATTTCATTAAAAAAAGAATTAGTTCCTAAATTCTTAGCCTTCACAGTCTACTTTTCTAAAATGAAGCCAGAAAACCACATGAATCTATATCAACATGTTTCTGTGCTTAAAAACACACAAGAATATCAACCACCACAGAAGAGACTGTCAGGATAGATGTCCTACACTCACCTGCATTCGATGAACCAACGCCGGATCTCATCTTGGAGGTTCTCCTTGATGTTGGGACCTTCTATTAGTTTCAAGTCATCCTTGATTGTAACCAAGGCATCTCTGTATTCCTCCTCGTGCTTTACCTGCACCTCATCTCGCAGGTGGGTCACCCTGTCAGCCTGGATTAATGCAGCACTGACTTCATTAAACAAAGGAGGTGGGTTCTGAAAATATAAGCCAAAAGGTTTGAGATCATAAAGGTTACAGAGAGGTGAAAAATATTAGACAATAATGAAATATGTCAGTATCTTCAATGGTGTCCTACCAAAGACCCATAAGAAATACAAACAGAACAACAGAATCAGATCTTGCAGGAGAGCTTGAAGGAGTAATTCACAACCATGGGGAGGAAGCATGGGATCACTCTGTACTATTTCCCAGAAACTGGTAATTGGCTTAAAAAATGCTTATTCGGTAAATCCTTCAAAAAATCATTCAAGTTGCAGAAGGTGAAGTTTTCCAAATCTTCTTGGTTAGTGGGAGAGGAAAGAATATAGCATTAGAAAGTAAATGAAGCAAGAATTGATGAAAAGAGTTTGGGTGTTCTGATTTCAAGAAAAATGACACCAAAATCAACACTGAAAACATCCCCTCTATTGTTAAAGACCCTCCAGAGCAGGAAATTCTCAGCTGACTCCAGACATTCACGCTATTACAACTTATTGTCACAATGTTCTCTCTCCACATCTGCTGATCAGAAAGGCAACAACGTCTGGCTGTAGAACGCCAACCAAATGCTCAGCACTGGTCCAGCAACATGTGGAGGGTTGGGGTCACCCAAAGTACAAAGTCACTTTGAGACATGATTCCTGTTCTTTAGAACCGCTCAAGAAATGAGGTTGGCGGAATAAGAGTAATGCCCGTCACAGTAGGGAACCATGTCCAATAATCTATAAACGTGCTACCTTGTGGGTTTGGATGGAAAGAACTAAAAGGGACTTGGAGAAGAACACACATGGGAATCATAGGTATGAGCTAAAGATCCTGAGCTCTCAGGAGTTCAGAGATTCAGCCCAGGTAAGTTAGCAAATTAAGGACAAATTCAGTGGTGTGCTGGAGCCAGCCTGTAATGACTCATGAGATCCAGTTGATAGATTTTCAGAAATTTTGCAAGCTTGCTGTTAGGCACAGTTATTTTTAAATGCTAAATTGTATAAATTTAGGATTAAATTATGTTAACAAAGCAAGTTACCGATACCAAAAACTCACTGCTTCATAATTATTTTTACTGGATTTTATTGTCATCTATGCTCTTGATGTCATTATGTCTGTTGTATCTCTAAGGTGAAAATACTGTAATAATGCTGTCACTTCTGTGCATACCTTCCTGTGTTCATTCAGGTTAGCAGCTTGCAGTTGGCTATAGGAATACTTACACCATCGAAATTAGCAAATACTACAAATGAGGGCTTGATTTACTATTGTGATTTGATTGTATAGACTTAAGAAAGTGGTAGAGAAAATAATAATGCAGATAAACATAAAAGTGTGTCGTGTCTGTGTCACCTACACTGTGAATAGCACACAAAACTGAGGAAATATTCTTCCAGAATCCAAAAACTATAGTCTGATTCAGCAAAGGATGGCTAGTATCAAGTAGAGAAAAGATGACAAGTGTTGGGCATGGACGTGGAGAAATCAAAACCTTGTACACTGTCAGTGGGAATGTAAACTGGTGCAGGCACTATAGAAGACACTACGGAGGCTCCTCAAAAAATTAAAAATAGAACTACCATGTGATCCAGCAATCCCACTTCTGGGTATATATCCAAAGGAAATGAAATCAAGATCTTAAAAAGATATCTGCAGCCCCCTGTTCACTGCAGCATTATTCACAATAGCCAAGGTATGGATACAACCTAACTAAAGCCAGGGACCATTTTAAATCTGAAAATCCATATCCTTTTGTTACAAGGATTTATTTGGTTACTGTTCCTTTACAATTTCCTTCCTCTGTTTTCTTAGTTCTTTTCTTCTCAGAACTCCTGCAATTTTCTTTACACGTATCCCTCATCCATCTCTTTGCCATTTTGCTATTTTCTAGGAGATTTTCTTAATTTTTTCTTTCAACTTTATTTTTTGAAGTTTCTATTACTATATTTGAACTCTTTGATTCTCCTGTTTTGGGGCATTTTGTTCTAATTTCTGGATTCGATAATCCTCTTTTATTTCCATAAGGTTATTACTTTTAGAATTTTGTTTTTTATGTTTTATTTTACCCCTCTTTTCTTTCTTCCAATTTCTTTTCTGTTGGGTCTCTCTGTCTTTCTTAAGTGACTGGTGACCCTCTGTGGTTCATGCTTATTTAGGAGGGAGGCTCCCAGAGCTGTCTGTAACCTGTGGAGGGGAGTTGCTGACTGGTGAGGTCAGAGCTGCTTTATTGGAGGTATCTGAGTATCAGTACCCAAATGTCTTTCTTTTGAGCTGGTTTCTGCAGACAGAAATCCTCCCATCTGCTCCTGAAGAGGTGTTAAGTGTGGCTGCTAGAGCCAAGCAGAGGGAGGGAGCTATTGGTCTCACTGTTCTCTTTTTTTTTTTTAACATCTTTATTGGAGTATAATTGTTTTACAATGGTGTGTTAGTTTCTGCTTTATAACAAAGTGAATCAGTTATACATATACACATGTTCCCATATCTCTTCCCTCTTGCGTCTCCCTCCCTCCCACCCTCCCTATCCCAGCCCTCCAGGCGGTCACAAAGCACCGAGCTGATCTCCCTGTGCCATGCGGCTGCTTCCCACTAGCTCTCTACCTTACGTTTGGTAGTGTATATATGTCCATGCCTCTCTCTCGCTTTGTCACAGCTTACCCTTCCCCCTCCCCATATCCTCAAGTCCATTCTCTAGTAGGTCTGTGTCTTTATTACCGTCTTACCCCTAGGTTCTCCAAGACATTTTTTTTTTCTTAATCCTTCCTTTCAGAACAGGATCTCACCTCGCTCCCCACTGGGCAGAAAGAACAAGATAAACACAAGCCTTATTCTACCGAGTTAAACCAAACTCACTGACACAGCTCTTACGTCCCTTTGCTTTGAAATTTTCAACAAGTTTCTCCCTTTCAACAGCATATAACTGTACATTAAAAACTCATCTGGAAGTTATAGAAAAGAGGAATTTTATTCATTTCTGTAAATAAAATATTCAGAGCTAATTCTGCCATCTTATGTTTTCTAACACAATTTCTTGCTTTTCCTTTCCTACTTTTTGCTGGGTCTATGCAGTTAACTTTGTTCATTCTTGCTATGCAGTGGTTAAGAAACTTTACCTCTTATTTATAATCTTCTGCCAGTTATTCTGAAATTCTTAACATCATAATTACCACCTATATTTCTATTTATGTCTAGAATTCATTAGTATTTTTACTGTTTCTTTAAGCAAGTCTAGGACCTCTGCATGTGTTCACTCTTTTTCCCCCAAAACTTTTATTGTGTAATAACAGATTGTGATTAAGTTTTAAACCAGTAACTATTTAAATTTAACCATTGTTTTGGTTTCACTTTTTTTTTTTAACATCTTTATTGGGGTATATTTGCTTTACAATGGTGTGTTAGTTTCTGCTTTATAACAAAGTGAGTCAGTTATACATATACATACGTCCCCATATCCCCTCCCTCTTGCGTCTCCCTCCCCCCTCCCTATCCCACCCCTCTAGGTGGTCACAAAGCACCGCGTTGGTCTCCCTGTGCTATGTGGCCGCTTCCCACTAGCTACCTATTTTACATTTGGTAGTGTATATATGTCAATGCTACTCTCTCACTTCATCCCAGCTTTCCCTTCCCCCGCCCCATGTCCTCAAGTCCGTTCTCTACATCTGCATCTTTATTCCTGCCCTGCCACTAGGTTCATCAGTACCGTTTTTTTAGATTCCATATATATGTGTTAGCATATGGCATTTGTTTTTTCTCTTTCTGACTTACTTCAATCTGTATGACAGGCTCTAGGTCCATCTCTGCAAATGACACAATTTCGTTCCTTTTTCTGGCTGAGTAATATTCCATTGTATATATGTGGCACATCTTCTTTAACCATTCATCTGTCGATGGACATTTAGGTTGTGAAGCATGTCCTTGAGTGTAACTTTCAGACTGGATATGGTCAGCCATAAATATACTAAGTACTTGCATTTCTAAAATGACCTCATTTGGCCCTTCCCACTTGAATGGCAGCTTAGTAGCTACCCTGGAGGATACTTCTAATGGGCAGAGCTGCCAGCAACTAGCTTGTTGGAAATTTGATGATTGTTCCTTTGTAGGTAAGCTATTCTGCTCTTATGATGCTTTACACTTAGTCTTTTCAAAGTTTATCAAAATGAATCTAGGTGTGAGCATTTCTTCATTCGTCACATTCTCCATTTAGTGGGTCCTTTCAATATAAAGAATTATGTCTTCTCCTCTGTAAATTTTCCTTCTATTATTTATTTTTCTCCATTTTTCTCCCTGCAACAAATATTACATAAATGGCAGAGCACCAGATTGATCTGACCTTTTCTCTTGTGTTTTCTATCTCTCCTTTACTTGCTTGCACTATGTTACAGAAGATTTCTCCATCATTACCTTTCACAATTAATTTGGCTTTCAGTTATGTCCATTTATTATTTGGATTTATTTAGAATTTTAGAGGGGTTATTATTGTTTTGCTTTTTTGAGCATGCTCTTATCTTCCCAAAATTCCTTCTTATTTTATATTTGCTCCTTTCTTGTTTTTAGTAGTCACTTTGTTCAGGGAAATTATTTTAGATGCAACACATCTTCAAATATACCAGTGAGTTATTTTTTCCAAGTTCACGTTTTTCCTCAAAATTCTGAAAGGCAGTAAAAAAAAAATATGGATTCCCAGTTCCATCCTGGGGGTGAGAAAGAAGCAAGAAACTAGTAGTTTGGGAAAGTCTTCAAGTGATTCTGATAATATCCAGGTTTGAGGAAAAACTAACTGCTGTAGAAAAAGGTTTGGTAACCTCTAGCACACGAGTCAAACCTGGCCCACTGCTTATTTTTGTAAATAAAGTTTTATTGGAATGCAGCCATGCCCATTCATTTACATGCTGTCTATGGTGGCTTACACACTACAATGGCCACACTGAATAGTTGGGACAGGGACCATGTGGCTTTGCAAAGCCTAAAATGATGACAATAAGGAAAAGGAAGAGGGAGTGTTTCCTTAATTTCT